TTATTATTAATTATTATTATTATTATTATTATTATTATTATTATTATTATTATTATTATTATTATTATTATATTATTATTATTGTTATTATTATTATTGTTATTATTATTATTGTTATTATTACTAATTATTAATTGTTATTATCATTAATTATTCTTATTATTGTTATCATTATTACTATTAATTACTACTGTCGTTAATTATTATTATTAATTACTGTCATTTATTATTACTTTTATTAATTATTATTACTGCTAATTACTGTTACTGCCAGAAGCATACATGTTATTCATTGGTACAATTATTTCCACTAATAATTAACAAATTGTTTCAGTTATTTCCATTAATAATTAACAAATTATTTCAGTTAACTGTGTTTGATTATAAATTATTGAAAATCGATAAAATTGATCGGAATAATTCTTAACATTATTATAAATAACTATAAATAAAAGAACTGGTTCTCTTCCTTCTTTTTTCTTTTCTTTTCTGATTTTTGCATAGTAAACAGAAAATATTACAGTGTTTTGTCCCGTAGTAAATAGTAAAGTGTGACAAAATGATTAAATAATCGAATTTAATTTAAATACAAATTTCAACTTACATATATCTTTACTGTGCTGTAACTTTTGATTTTGGTTCATTTGTTAATGTAAGCATCGAGAATTCTTCCTTTCTCTCGAGATATTACTATATCCCTTCTTTTCTTTCCTTCTTTTCCCATTTTTCTTTTTTCCATTCTTTTCCTATTGCATTCTGTTGATAATCTAAAAAATGATACAATAAAATTTTTAAAGAGAAAAAAAAACAATCGTAGAAATTTCGATTATACCATCCAAGAAATCGCGGGAACTACTATACTGCTACTGTACAAGGATTTGGTTTTAAATTGACATATCCATCAATTTTGACAAAAAAAAAGTCGATTATCACGAATCACGAACTATGCAGCGAATTTCGTTATCTCCAACATCCAGGATATTCTCCTTGGGACGATGAACGTTTCGCATTGACACATGCTGTTAAATCTCACCTCAAGATGTTGGAAAAAAGAAATCTTCGGATATCCGATTTTCTGGGTTTTTGGTTTTCTGGTTTTGTAGTTTTCTCCTATCCAACTGTTACGATTCGTTAAATGTTAACTGATATACAATAATATGTTTCTTTCTATCTTTTCTAATCAATATTATAAGCATAGCTATGTCGAAATTGCCAATAGTTTTAATAGTAATTATATTTATACAAACTGAATACTTCTTGTTGTGTGTACGAGTAAAAATCAATATGCATGAACGAATAAGATAAGAATAAGTTCTTAATATTTTTAAATAAATAGATAAATAGATGAAATTTTTTTTCTTGGGAATTGAAGTAAATTCCAGAAAAGAATTATATATACACGAATGCAGAACGAATTTTTTTCTTGAGATCAGTAAGTGGTCTATAAATCATACGTCAAAGTTTTTGATATAAATAAGGGGAAGAAATATGCCAACACGCTAGTGCAATTATTACACGTAAATTTGTAAGCTATTCCATATAATAGAATATAAGTTTTCATGTAAATGTGCAATTCTTGTGTCGATTCACGCTCTTCACTAAATAATATGAATTAATATTGTTAAGATTATTTAACAATTTCTTTCTGCCCCTTATTTATTTCATTTGTTTTTTGTTTTCAGTTTAAAACTGTAATAAAATCAATTCCTTAATACGGCACGCATATATTTATTTTACTAATGAAACTTGTTCGTTCATAAATTATTTGAAAATTGAAATACATTGGCATTCAAAGTTAATGGCTACTGCTACGACAGCATTGGTACGTGCAACGGGTAATACTGGTGGTGCAATGATGATGATGCCGACGGGTACTGCTATTGCTATGGTTAGTAAACTGTTTATTCATAACATTTTCAAATTTTTAAATTAAAATAAATTCGACGAGAATTCGAACAACTGTTAATTATCTTAATCACAATCCGAACTGCTTCACCATTTCATCTCTCTCTTGTTCTTTTACTTCTATCTTATCCGCTGTGCTAATTGTAAAACCGGTCACAAACATTTAGCCAATTTGGATAGATTAAAAACGAAATGATTATCTCACAGCTGGTGCTGTAATCATTTCTTTTGAGTGAGAGATGAAAGAGATGAGTCTCATCATTCAGCATTTTTTCTTTTGTTGCGAATGTTACTATCAAGATATTATGATGAGATACATTGAGATATTATGATAAAGTATATAGAAATCACCGAACGTAAGTTTCCAGTGACGTATGAGCTTGAATAACGTCAAACATATGGTGTGTAATTATGATAAAGTCAATGTAAGCTTCCTCAGAAATTACTTCATTGGTTAATTGGATTACACTAAGCCAGAAAGAGGAAGAGTCTTGGCAAGAGCAATTTGCTGATAGTTTGTTGCTGTTTAATGACGGAAATAACAATTGATCAGTTTTCATGCATCAAACGTCACTGATTATATTGATCAATAGGTAGAGAAGGAGGATTTGTAAGATACGTTATTAGATAAAATTTATAACTGTGAATTTTAACTAGAGAAACGTTCCGGAAAGATGAAAAATGTCTAGAATTATTGCTAGGTTGGAAAATGTTTAGAATTATTGCTAAGTTGTTCAAAGCTAACCTTCTAATTAGTAGTCATTTTAATTTATCCTAGTGGGAGCAAAAAATTAACGGCGATATGATCGTAGGAGAATACGGAAAATTATTTCGATCTATTTTAGCCCTTTAAAAATTAAGAGCTGATAAAGAATATATGAATGAATGGAAAAACGGCTCTATTACTATAGCAACCAAGTGAACGAAGTTTATTTTTGAGCGTGTATATGTGTGTGTGTGTTTGTTTGAAAGCACATATTTAGCTAACTTCAACTTATTTATAGAGTTAGCGCACTTTTCACTTGCCGCTCACTTGATTATCTTCTAATTTGATGTTACCCGAACCATCTGATAACATTTATTACTTGACCATATCTATTCGAATCATTTTTTATTACTTTTAGGTTTTAGTGCAGTTAGTTTAATGTCATAGTGATAATGATTTCTGGGTGTTTCTTCCTTTTTTTTAATGAATATCAGGGCACACGCATCTAGAAGAATCTATTCATATCTATTATTTCTTTTTCCTTATATGCAAAAGTATTTGTAGAAATACTTGATGGGTGGCATTTAAGAGAACAAATCAGACATTTGTCACTCTATTTTATTGTAACATTGTAATATTTAGCACTAAAATATTTGGGGAGCCTGAATGCGACCGCAGTATTTGAAACTATCATCGTCAAAAGAGTCTTAAATTAACAGTTCTTTTATGACATATTTTATAAAAAGACATATTTTATATATATTCATAACTATTACAGGGTTGTACAGCTCAGCCGCCACAAGTATCATTGTATCAATCGCAACAAAGTGCATATTCGACTTACCCATCACAAACTACTATTGGAGTGTCATCTGTTAACAGCCGTTTACTTTCGAATAATTGCTGTGGTAATTTCGCTCCACTTTATTATATCAATACTGCTAAAGTATTCCAGAAAAAGCATAATATGAACCTGAGTTTTGCAAACATAGCAATATTCCTGAGCATATTCAGGAATATTACTATGTTCTGTATATTTTGTATATTGGCCCATTAATTTTGTACTTATATAATTAAATTGCAGATGCCGCATCTACAAATTTCTTCCCCCAACAACCACAACAAAGCTATCCATTACAACGATCATTTTATCAAAATTTAACACCGGAACCACCGGCAACAACAGCTAATAACGTTATGCCTCAGAGTATGAACTGTGAAGCCGTTGGTTCGATAACATCAGCAGCGATATCTAATGACAGCCTGACAGCATCAGTTTTAACTGATTTGGGTAAGGCCATATCGCAATCCGCCTCTGTCTTTTTAAGTTTGTTGATTTACTAAATATACGCAATATATGTATTGCATAATAGAGTCAGATAATTTCCATATTTTGTATTTGGAATACTGCATATCTCGTGAGGAAACTTTCTCATTTTTATGACGCACTATTCCTTCGAATATTTTAACCATTAATCAATTGTTTATTTTTAGCACTGAAAGCACCGAAAGTACTTTCGAATGTTGCTAGACCTTTTGCCACAGATATGAGTGGCACTTTGTACTTGTTTCACAGTACTGCTAAAGGATTAATTCAAGTAGTTGATTCAAGTAAGCATATTCTTAATCCTTTTGTAGGTTCTCAGTTATTATCAGTTCGGCGACCTTCTAGTTGTAGCAGCCGGAGTCGCCCATCATCATCGTGCTCCTCTGTTACGAACCTACAGATACCGATCACAAGCACTACAATCACTGTTACTAGTGCTGCTGGACCTATTACCACAAATATGAATGGTTTGGTTAATGCATCGCTTACAAACAATGCTGTTACATCTGTTTGTGCCACCAGAAATGCTGGTTGGTTTTGTATCTATTTTTCTAAGAGATTCTCATAAATTCAAGTGTGAACTATTGTTTTTCATACTACCTTGTTGCGAACAAAAATTAAGAGGACTACGTAACATAAGAATGATTCGTGAATTGAGAATGTTTCGAATTAAGAATGTTTCGGATGTCATATTTTGTATCGTTTTAATGATAGCATGTCTATGCCGGATACGTAAGACCTTTGCGAACTTTCAACTATTTACTGTTAACCATCAGCATATAATATTGAAAATTGTGAAAAAAATTTCCCAGATATCCTGATAATCCGTGATCCGTTCGAAGAGGAGGAATTGACCGGTACACGTTGTAATATCACAAATACTCAGATGATGTTCAATCAGCGACCACCGCAGTATATCAATACTGGAAATCCGTTAGATTCTGGAGGACAGCTGGAGTTACCCCGGTCAGGATATTCATGGATTAATTTTTCGCATCATTTATTCTCTCTCTCGACATGTCAACAGAGATAGACTGAGAAAGAGAAAAGGGTATCTCGTAGACTGTTAGTGATACAATTTTGATTTTAGTCGTTTGAATTGTTGCAGGATAGTTTACCAAAGCATGTATGTAAGTTTGGATATTTTCTTCTTTTTTTTAGGCATCTTCGTGTTCCGTACCCTGAATCGGCATATCGAGCATGTATTGCAGCGAATAAGAATTTGGACAGTTACCGTAACGGAGCACCCTTACCTTCGTTTATGCCACCTTATCCAGCGCTTCCTGCTCCAAGACCTGGTTCTGTCTTTGCGCCAAATGTTATTGCAATGGAGAATTCGATAATGTATGGGAATCCACAACAGCAGCGACAGCAACAACAGCAACTCCCTGGAAGTGGTGCAAATTTTGGGGTGTTACGGAATAATAGAGCTCAAGGAAATGCTTCACCAGGTATGTTTTCCTTTGTTGTGAGAAATGTTGCATGACTTCGTTATATTTTTATGGCTCGTTCGCTTTTATTCCTAATAAAAAAAAAAATTTCGAGGTCATTCTCCTAGCTGCAGCCTGTAACTGGTATTTACAGGTTGTCCACCGCTGTCGATGGGTAATGCACCTGCACCAATTCCAGCCCAAGGCTTTGGGAATCCATATTGTGTCCAAGGACCGGCTCCAACGCAGCAGATGTTGGGACCACCTGGTAATTATTATGTCGCAATTGGTGAACTTGCATTTAAACGGGCAGATTCGTTCCACAACCACGGAATTATATGACAAATTTTTGTTGCATAAGACGGTGTCGGTGTGCTACTTTTAGAAACCAACTTCAAAATTTTGCCAGATGATCTAATTTTCGTGATCATCGATATTGCCAGTATTGATAAACCTTTTTTGGTTGTGGGAGAAGTTTGAAAAGTACTGGAGACTTGTGCATAACTTCCTCATATTTCATTGAGCTTCAGTATGCCAAGCTTATTTGTCTCACTGCGTAAATTAAAGAGTGACATGGTCAAGCAACATTTATAATCTTCCATGACGTCGTTTTTGATATTTCAAAAACTTATAAAATTTTTTGATTCGTTTTATATCTCTTGACCACGCTATTCGCCATGGGGGACTTAAGCAACGATTTTAAAGATTATGTGTCAATTCAAGCGTGCGCAAAAACCGTTAGCTAAAATGATAATTACGAGTTGGGTTTCTGAAAACATGCTTATAATGGAGATCAAAAGCACTGCAAAATAGTTACTTTCCATCATGAATAAACGATGATATATGAGAGCCTGATAATTCTTAACAGTTCTTGAACTACAATTGTCTGACATTAGCAATGACAACATTTGGAACTTTTACGAATATTTTTTAACAATAATTGTTGCTTTAATAATATATGTACGGTAATATTTGGAACAATTCGGTATATATTGCTCTTGTCATATGAAGATAAATTTGCTCCCTTTCGTCATTCATTGCCATTGTTCTAACGTTACAATTAATTGATTGTTATTAAAAAGGTGATATGTCGCCCATTTTATCGTTGTTTTGCAGGTTGTATGCAGCGCACTGAATACCTACCAACTGTGTCAGGTTCATATTGCGTTCCAGGAGGTGCTGCTGGACAACCTTATTTTGGCGGGCAGCCGGTAGTAAGACCCGAACCTGGAACTTCTAGTATGGTATCTTTGAACACTGGTTCACATATAAATCCCATGGGAATGGTGAGCGTAAATGGTGAAAGAATGGGACCTGTTATGGGAGTTATTGCTGTGGCCCAGCAACAAAATGCTGGTTCGGCGACAGGAAAGAAGGGAAATAATAAAAGGTATGTTGGGTTGCTTGTTGTTTTCCAAGTTTTCCAAGTCTAAAAAAAATACTTCTAGATAACACCATCCATACGATTTTCTTTTCTTTTCTCTCTTTTTTTTTCTTTTTTTTTTTTTGTAGAAGCCTTAATAATGCTTATTTACATCATTTATAGATCCAAAGCTAACAAAGCAGCTGCAGCAGTATCGAATCTTACGATCACAGATGAACAGCAGCTCTTGTCCGCAAGGCGGAAACAACAGCCCTTGTTACCATCTGGACAACAACAACCACTGGTACCTGGAATGATGCTACCCATGTCAGTTTCATCGCAGGACTTCTATTTGCCGCAAGGTATTTGTGGTAATCGTAGTAGCTTGCCACCTCACATTGCACCACCGCAGCAGCAGACGATGGTACCACTTACACCTACTAACGGAACTACTGGAGGAGGCGGACTAGGGCAATTTGATCATTTTGATGGTTAGATAAGTTTTTTGTCAAATTTTTAAAAAATATTTCCTTTTTAATCTAGAAAAAGTTTTTTTTATTTTTTCCTTCGAGTTGTATATTTTACTTCTAAACCTTCAGCTTTGATTCCAGTGTAATAATATAGGCATATTAGTGCATGCTGATTGAGTGTTTGTAACTCAGCGACCAAGTTCAATCGGAATGTGTTTGAATTGAATAATTAGGTACTCATAAAAATTCTTAAAACGATGTATGGTAATTTGGTTATTTGTAGTTCGACCTTCAACAAGCATGAGTTGTACACCGATGTCGTACTGTCCTCCGATAGCATCAGCACCAAGTGCAGCAGGTAAATTACTACCCAATTTGTAATTTTTGTTACTGGAAACCAATCACTTTGCTTGAACTTTAAATTTGTTTACTGGATTATGCGCGTCTATTTCTAGATACTCCGCCTCAACAGCAATCAACTTCTCAAATGATCGCCCATTCGATGATGATGACGAGAGGTTACGGTGGTTTTGAACAAAACGGTTTTGTTGATGGCTTTCAGGTCCACTAGTAATTACGTTTTTTGAATTGTATACTTTGCTCAAAGATTGTTGAGGCTTGAAGAAAAACTTGGTTTTTAAATTAGGGTGGTAACAACGATGGGGCAGTATCATAACGTGGTGTAATGGGACACTTCTTTCCTGAAAATATTCTGCTGTTCTAAGTTCCTCACATTGATCGAAATTGTTCACAGTTACGTGGTGAAGACTCAAGTCATCAAGTGAATTAAATATTGGAAGTTTCTTTTGGTGTGAATAGTCCATACGGCTTGGTTTTTTTTTCTTGACGGACCAACCAATTTTGGAACATTATGCATTTCTGGATCCTTAAGATTTTTAGGAGAATTAATAAAAATGTTGAGGCTGCAAATTTGGACGAGTTGCAATTTTCATCCTTGATTAAAAATTTCGAACTGAAATTCAAAGAAGAAAATCTGGACTCATCATAGTCACCGGTGGCATAGCAACAGCTGTTTGGTAGGCATGACCTATGACATAAGAAGCTACACTATATGTGATATGCCTTTAGTATCTTAGTTCCTGCTAACAAAATTATTACCTCACCGTATTAAATTTGAAAATTTACTTTGTTCACATTCAGGTTGAAATAATCTGATTTCCAGACTCAACGGAATAATGGCAGCAGTAGTGATACCATTAGCAATAATATGACAACTAATACTACTCTCACTACAAGTGCTAGCGGTGATTCGTTTACTGTACTAAATGGTTCTGCGAGTAGCCAGAACACTAGTACCGGTAACAAACAATGTTGTGTAAGCTGTACGGAAGAAATACGAGTAAATTTTTGTACTATTTATTATCAGTCTTGCGCTTTCTCTTCAATTCCTGTTATATCGCTTTATCGGAGTTAATGTTGAATAAACGGATAGCTCGAATTTTTGGGATTTTCTGTGTCCGTTCTACTGATTTAGTTGTATTGTGAAGTATAATACTGTTATAGAGTGATCAACCCAGTATCCAATGCACAGCAAATGGCGAAGGTTGTCGGCGTTTCTTTCATCAGGTAAGATTTTCGACAAAGCCCGTTTTTCAATACTTTTTTTTCGCGAATCATAATTATCTTTTCCATATTATGAAACAGTTCGTTCTGAAGCATACATTATTCTATTATGTCGCTGTTTTGGGGTTTCTCCTGCTCTCTTTTAACTCATTTTCATTTAACCTATCTCTTTTTCACCTATTTACATTATTGGAAATAAAGCGAAGAATTTATTAATTACTTCGTCGGATATGGCTTTTTTTTTTTTTGCTTTAGGAATGTAGCGGATTGTTATCGGATGCATTCCGTGCTATCATTGCAGAACCATGTGCGGAATGGATTTGTCCGGATTGTTTATGCCGTCAACAGACACAACTTACATTTGCTTAGTTACATTCAGTTATTTTCATGTTTTTATTTGTTCATTTTACTTTTACAAGTAATATTATATTTTTTACACTCCTCAAAAATATGTCTCCATATTTATATATCATTATCTGCGTGTCTGATGTCTGAACAAGTTAAATACAGTTGAATGTATATTTATAAGTTATTCGGATGTATCGTTGCATATGTCCAGTAATTTAAATATAATTATTTGTTTGTTTGTCAAATATTTAGATGTATTGTTGGTCTGCAACATATTTAAATGTGTCTTTAGGTCTTCGAATATGTTCGCATGTGTTTGAATATGGGTTTGTGTATGCTCGCATACTTGATATCCTCGTATGCTCGTATATTTAATATCAATATTTTTGTATTCTTGTGCTTACTTCATCACCTTGTGATTTTTCAGATTAGTTTTGTAACTATTGTGTGAAATTATAAGACATGAACATTTGACGGTCTCATTGTTCGAAAAAAATTTAGTTTTTGACATTTTTGCATTATTTATTAGTTGGACGTTTTTTTAGCATTATTGCTGTAATGATTGTCTTCTTATTAAGAATTATATTTACCATGAATATGTTGCTTTATTTAATATGGCGCATCGTAATTGTTTGGTACATTGTCTGTGTTGTGTTTTTCGACAGACCTTTAAGATTGAGTTTACTGAAATTGGAATGTCCTGACAAATCACAGTCGTTGGAATTATTAGAATCTGGATGTTGCCACATTTGAAATGCTTAAATTTCTTTTGAGCAATTCTCGAAACTGTTCTAAATGTTTCCAAATAAAAGTGGACAAATTTGACAACATCCTTATTTCTTTTCTGTTTCCTTTTGCCATTTAATTGTATATCACTCTAGCTATCCCTGTCATTCTTTCGATAATCACTCTCCATTTTCAATTAATCATTTAGAAGATTGCATTTCTGGATGGTGCCAGACTATTTATTTTCATTCATTATTGTGCGATATAATAATTTTGCATATTAGGTTGATTTTGTACATATAATGCATATTGACTAAGTAATACTGGTGGCAATGCTGAACATCACGTATGTTATACTTGCCTTTCCTTTCAGACGGTTCTTTCATAGATTTTCTTTCCATGTATCTTTAATTTAAATTAAACTCAAATCAAAGGCTTCCATTTAACTAACACCAATATTATCTAATTATTACATTTGTATTTGGTATATATGATCAAACTACTTCTGTTCATCTCAATTTCATTATTTATTTCATTTTTTCTTTTTTTTTTTTTTTTTTTTTTAAGTATCAGTTTATATTGGTCCCTTATATATGGATCGTGAATTTACTGAAATTGCAGTGAAAGTTAACGAAGATACTTATGAAATATTGGTAGCCATTTTTGGGTGAAATTACTTGCAATTAAAAACAGAAAGTAAATTGTGACTATTAATCGAATGTTTCCTATTTGAATTCGTAGTCGAAGTCGAAATTAGGTATTCTTTTTCATTTAAGCAATGAATTGGTTGGCTACTTGTTGGCTATTCGTTTTACTCGTTTCATCATCAGTTATATTTGAAAAAATTGTATCTATCTGTTATTGTGCCATGTTGCTTAAAGAATATTTCACATTTTTGGACATAATATTTCTCTAATTGTTTGAAATTTCACAGCATATGATATTGATCGGTATGCTGAAGGTGACTGATAACCTTTATAAGTGGGATGTTGCGGTTGACATTCAAATCTTCACAACATAACTTTACGATATCATTGCTAATTTTCAAGTTTATTTCAATTTTTTATATTAAAGTTTAAACGGAAAGTGATGCAATTAATAAATGATTCAAAATTTCCGCATAATTTGTCGCGCAAAATGTCTGGGGAAAGATGAGTAAGTAAAGGAAAAATATGGAATAAAAAAGTTGTAATTGCCATTTCCCTTTCTCATCCT